GAGGAGCATTGGAAACTGATACACATGTGCGGTTAGCAACGTGGGCACGCAAATTCTTCTCATAAGAAAGTAATGAGTTCAATGCTTTCCTGTGAGCTGCAACCTCGGTCATTGTAGAGGAAGCATTAGTTGTGTGTTTAACTTTGCATAGCAAACATTGCAGTTTCTATAAAACTGCCTTGTTTTACATTTCAGGGTTAAAAGGACAAGGCCACTGCACCCAAAACACTTCAATGAGATGAAGTGGCCTGCGTGACTTTAATAGTCCATTAATGTTAGAGTGTAAAATTTAAAAGGGATACTTAGAGATTAGAAATACTTCCTATAGGTAGTGCCGTGCACCTGTGGCAATAGCAGGTATCAAACACTGGACTGAATAAAAAAGCCACACATGTGGTTAGCTGAAATCTCTTAAATCTCTACACTAACAATTCATCTATGTCACTTCAGCTAAAAGGGCAACATGTCCAATAAGACAGAAAGGGATACAGTTATGTACCCCTACACAGTTGTTAACATGTAATAGGACACATTTGGGGTGAGCAGCAGCACTGTAATATATCTGTGTAGTCCAAAAGTAAATACAAACACACACAATTGAGACATGCACTCTTGGTAGGCAGCAATGGTTATAGTATTAATCTGCCCAAATCCAAATGAATAGAACAACAGCCCCCTAACCCCCCTCACCTCCCCAAAAAATAGTTACTTGCACTTTATCCTAATCCCTATGCACATTTAAATAACTGTATGTAACTTTTTTCTAGTAGACATGTCCATCAGAATGGTGTGGCATGACACAGTGCAAAAGATTCTCACCACATGCAAAATAAGATAATACAGAACATGCAGAATAATAAAAAGTTGGTGAAAAATTGATAACCGAAAAGGTCAGATTCTGACTGGGCGCATTATTGTTGGCAAAGTGTGGGCTGTGCTGGGCCCTTACATATCCTCTTTCCCGATACACCTACTACTTTCAGCTTCACAGTTTAAGAATTGTCAAAAGTGACACAAACTGACATGTTGTCCTTCCACAGAATGTTTCAAAGACTATGTTTAATCTCTTATTGACACACAGAACTATATTAGTTTTGTCACAGAGGATGAAATATGTGATTATCTTTCATCTTCTAAGCTCAAGACCTGTATCAGTTATACTCACCAAAGTATAAATTGCATTAGGATCTGTTTCATTTATGATTATACTTGGTGAATGGACAAATTACTTTTCAAATGTTAGGGTATTATATACAAAATGGAAAAAATTATGCAACTTGGCAGTTTTTCCAAGATGGTTATTTTGGACGTAATACTATTGACACCATAGAGCTTGATGTTGCCCTTTTATAGCTCTGTACCGCCTACGTTTTGTGCATCAATCCACGACTGCACATTCACATGACTCATTGATGCGCCTGCATTCACACACATTCCAGGGAAGCGGCATGATGCCTGCTTATGATATGATATAGTGCCATTCAAAAGTTTAGGGTCTTTATTGTCCATGAAAACATACATGATATGAGTGTGAACAGAAATATAGTAATTGACAAGGTTAAAAAAAAATTAATTGTAAGTGAAATTATAAATTTTTACAGCCTTGCAGACATTTTGCATTCTAGAGATTTCACCCCATGGTTCCTCAAGTATCTTCCACATGTTGGATTGGCTTGTATCATACCTCTGGTGACTGTGCTGGTCACTCCATTAAAGACAGAATACCAGCTGACTGCTTCTTCCCTAAATAGTTATTACATAATTTTGAACTGCTTTGGGTAATTGTTCTGTTGTAGGCGGAACTTGACTCCAACCAATCACCATCCACAGTGTATGTCATGGCATTGCAAAATGGAGAGATAGCTTTCCATCTTCAAGGTCCATTTTACCCTGTATAAATCTCCCACTTCACAAGTGCACACCAGACCATCACATCCCACCATGCTTGACAGATGGCATCAAGAACTCCTCCTTTTCATTTGGACTGCATCTCACAAATGCTCTTCTTTGTAATTCAAAAACCTCATCTGTCTATCCATAACACTACATTTTCAATCTTTTTCTATCCAGTGTTTGTGTTCTTTAGCCCATCTTAATTTTTTCCTTTTATTGGCTAGTCTAGATGGCCCGCATATCGGAGTTGCCTCTTCACTGTTGAACATAGATTCTTCGGGATTCCATGCACTAGTAAACTAATCTATATTAGGGGAAGTTTCCCTGAACATAGTATTTGCAGAATTCCATGCGCTAGTAAACTAATCTATGTTTGAGGAAGTTTCTCCAAACGAGATTTGCGGGATTCCATGCGCTAGTGAACTGGTCTACGTTCGGGGGAATTCCTAACTTTGCTAACTTTGGCAAGCATTTGTGGCTAAGTGGCTACTACAAAAGACTTGGCATACACCATTTTGAATACCCTGGGTTGTCTACTTTTTCAAATGGTATGTCATGGTGTGGTTAATTTTCATTTCTGGGCTGCCATGCCGTCTCAATGCAGCATAGCCAATCTGGCAAATAGCAATTTACAAAAACAGAAATTGGCTAATCTTATGTTTGACCCTGTAACTTTCCAAATCACCATAAACCCTGTACTTGAGGGGTACTGTTGTACTCGTGAGACATTACCCTACACAAATATGAGTGTTTTTAGAGCAATAAAATGTATTATACTGAAATATATTAGGTGAAATGGCAGTTTATGTGTGAAAAATGCAAAAAACCCAATATAAATGCAAATTTTGGCCAGGGTTTGTGACTAAGTGGCTACTAAAAAAAGACTGGACACCCCATTTTAAATACAGTTGGTTGTCTCCTTTTTTCAAATGGTACGTCATGAAGGGGTTAATTTTCATTCCTGGGTTGCTATACGGTTTCAAAGGCAACATAGGCCCAGCCAACCAACCTGGCAAATTTCAATGTGAAAACATGGAAAATGAGAAAACCCTACATTTGACCCCTGTAAGTTTGCAAAAACCCATAAAAGTCTGTACATTAGGGCACTGTTGTACTTATGAGATGTTGCTGAACACATATTGTGGTGTTCTTTTTCAGTAACACATAACAGGAACTGAGAATCCCTACCTAAAGTACAATATGAGAGAAAAAAAACCACACAAAAAATGACCACCCAAAAATTTGACAAAGACTGATGGTAAAATTAATGCATGGGAAGTGTTAAAATACAACAATTTAAAATACCCTAGGGTGTCTTCTTTTCAAAAATATATGGTTTGATGGGGTAAATTACATTGGCCAGCTTCAAAAATCCCAAATAGGACATGGATGCATAATGACCAGCTGTGAAAATCGCAAGTTGGAAAACTGGAATGTGCACCCACAAAATGGGTTCTTTAAGCCCCCAGAGAACCTGACACACCTATACATGGGTGGTATCAAGTACTCAAGAGATGTTGCTGAACACATATTCTTTGTTCTTTGGCAGTAACCCTTAAAGTTCTCAGTATATGTATTCTTAAATTGCTATGTGTGTCAAAAACATCAAAAAAAAAAATTTAATTTGGCATAGATTGGTTAAATGGCTGCATGAAAAGAGTCAAAATGCCCCAAGTTTAATACCTTAGCTTGTTTTCTTTTAAAAAATATATACATGTGAAGGGTTATTCAGGGTTTCCTGACACATCAGTGTTACAATGTAAAAATGGTTTGGAAATAGCAAAATGCTACTTTTACTTATTGCCCTATAACTTGCAAGAACATGTTATAATTGGGTATTTCGAAACTCAGGACAACATTTTTAAACTATTTAACACGGGTGTTTTTTGGCGGTTGTAGATGCGTAACAGATTTTGGGGGTCATAGTTAGGAAAAGTGTGATTTTTAAAAGATTTTCATCATATTTTACAATTATTTTTTTAGTAAATTATATGATATGATGTAAATAATAGTATCTTTAGAAAGACCATTTAATAGTGAGAAAAACGGTATATAATATGTGTGGGTACAGTAAATAAGTAAGAGGAAAATTACAGCTAAGCACAAACACAGCAGAAATGTAAAAACAGCCCTGGTCCTTAACGGTAAGAAAATTTAGAAACCATCTGGTCACTAAGCGGTTAATCAGCACACTAGTTTTCAGCAAAAGGGTTTTCTATTGTTCAATGATAATAACTTTATGGACAAAAAAAATAATTTGGTTTTCTTTCGAAAACAAGGACATTTCGAAGTCATACCAAACTTTTGAAAACGTTTAGGTCCTGATGAAAGTTTTGCTTATGAAATTGAAACGTTGATATTTTTTTTTTTTTAAACCAAGCAATTAAAAGCTGAACTGTGTATTTTTGCTGACAAGCACCTGGCATACAATAATATTGCTACTGGAGTGAAGGTTTTTATATATATTTATTTTCTTGTGACCCTAACAAATTACTTTTTGTTGCTCATGTCTGTGATTTTTGTATTCCTTGACCTGGACTGAACTTAACTTGTGTCTGTCTAATTATTTTTTGTCTGAAGATGTTTGAAACCATTCATCACTAAGGGACAGAAATATGTTTAACTATCCTATTTATCTGCTTTCTATTCTGTTGAAATCAGCTTAGTCCAGGTACTACACGAAAGGGCATTGTGCTCCATAATTTCTCTTGTGTCCCCAATTCAGCTGGTTGTCACATTTGTTTAATTTATTTCTAATCATTTATCTGACTATTGGCACCTGCTTGTAGGTTTACTGTTTAACTGACCTATTGATATTATTTTAAATGAATAATAAGTACCATAACTTCTATATTAGTTGAAGTGGTTATAGTACAGGGACCTTTTGGGTAAGGCTTTTCCAGTTTTTGTCAAATGTTTTTTTAGCAGTTTATGAAAAATAATGGGGCTTTCTTGACTTCCAAAGTCACGCCACTCATCTCAACATTTCACTTTTGCATTATCCACAGAAATCTATCAACGTTTGGACACCATTGGAAGACTATAAGTAGGGTGGCTTAGTCACAAATTCAGAGCCTCCAATGATTTATTCCTCACAGTCTGCAATTTCACTTCCATGTGTTTTACTTTCTACCTCTACGACTCCCCAACAACAACCAGCAAAACTAGTTACTTGCAAGAGAGTGGCCCTCAAACAATTTTAGTAGACCATATCAATTTAAGTATATGAGCAACACAATCTAGTTGCCAACCTCCTATATATTTACAGACAATGTTCTGGCTCCAGTGATTCCTTGGACATTACACAGAAGGCAAGGAGTTCCCTTACTTCGATTTGGTCCATTGAAGCCCATTAAGTAAGTAATGGTGTTTACCTTTGCTGAGACCATTATTTCATTTATACTACTATATGAAACTGAATGTAACAACATGATAAACACAGTTCACCTGTTTTTACTGCAGTAGCATTGTCTTTTTTGTTTTTTCTAACCACTGCATTGTGTTTGGTGGTGGTGCACAATAAATCCCCAGGAACAACATTCACCTTCTCATCTGTGTGGTACGTGGACGGCTCTAGGCCTCTCTAACTTTGTAGTGGAACATGTAGTGAGAACGGACATGCAGTAAAAAAAAAAAAAAGTGACTATTGTTTAATTCATTAAGGAAGTTTTAGTTATAGAGTAAAATATTTGTGTAGGTACTAATTGCAGCTTTGATCTATCTCCACAAATATTAACTATATCCTTTTGAGCAACCTTGATAAGGCTGATGGTTACAAAGTTATGTTTACATTTCTCATATACTGTGCTATCGTCTGACAAACTTTGGCAGGCTGTTTTCTCATGGAAAGTATCCCACAGAAACAAAACATTACTCAAGAAATGTAAGTAGATAACTGTTCCGAATGGTAACTCCTGTCTTTAGAGAATTTACTGATCCTAATTTTGCAAACCCAAAGGTGAATACATGCATTACTTTCCAATCTATCCAAAAGCTATGTATGCTAATCCCAGCAGGGATGAGACCACCAAAGACTGCTTGCTTAGGACACAATTTAGACAACATTTAATTCTCTTATCACCACTCTACATATCCTAATAGGGTTTAAACATTAAAACAGAGCCAGGGCAGCACATGTTTCTCTTTGCTTGATAACTCTTATCCGGTCCCCTGCTTTAAAACAGCTTGACATATTCAGATTAGACAGAGTGTCATTTGTGGAAGTCCGCTGACATCACTATTAGAAGGAAATTTGTTTAAACGATATGTAAGGGTGATGCTGAAATTAGCTGCCAAAAACAAACATATTGAGATAAATTTATTGGATTACCGTGCAGTTAGCAACAAAAATATCATGAACATCAGTGGGTGGAATTTCACACCCCATCCCAATTCAAAAGGCCCTTAAGACAATATTTTACATCGTTGTGTCATATTACGAGATCAAGTATTCTGATGCTTTGCTTTATTTATTCTACATGTAAATGTAAATAAGTAGCTTGTTCTTTTTTACCACAGGGGATTTTTTTTTTTACATCACACATGATGTTAAACATAATACAGCCATATGTATTATGATTAAAAATCATGTGTGAACTAAAAAAAAAACACTTGTGATAAAACCGAACAAAACTAGCGTAGTAATATCTGTTAGAAATATGTGGCACCACTTAGACAAGCAGTTAGACCTCTGTACCCAAACTCAATGAAATGAATTAGTTAATGTCCTTGTAAGCTGTGGTGACTTATCTCCTCTAGTGGACTCTATGAATCTTTCAACAAATAGAATATGCTGTATAAAAGGTGAAACAAACCTTAGTTTTTACTGAGATTGCAGACTTATAACAGATGGGTTCTGTAGGTACCTCTTAATAGCTTAGGGAAATAGAAGAGAAGGTAACATATTTTTGAAATTACACAACATTCAGTTTGGTATGTTATCATAGCTTGGAATCTCACAGTCTTTCAAGATCTTTTTCCAACTCTACTTTGAAGTCAGTATCCTCTGTTGCAGGGTATGCAATATAGCATTCGTTGCTGCCACAATCAAGCACAAAAAAATACATATCACAGTTTATACAAATTGTTCACGTCCCAGTGTACATATTAGTGTGTATATGTAGATGCCATCAATCAAACCTACATTCCAGGAGTAAAAAGTCCATGATTCTCAGAAGTTAATCAAGCCATCAACCAAGTCTCAGTAACCAATATTTTAAATAAAGCACTTCAAATTTTGCGAATGAATCATAATCTCATTTTTTTTAAAACAAATATACTTATCTATATAATAAATAATCAATGTAATTTGACAGTTCAACTGTGTATACAATGGGTTGAGAAAAAAAGTTAAATCATAATAGGTGAGTGACAAAATATATTGCAGACGTGCACACACACACACCACACACACACACACACACACACACACACACCTGCTTGTTTCCTTTCCTGCTTGTTTATAAGCAGAACAAAAATATGGAGTTAGAGGTAAGTTCTGCAACAGCTGCATCTGTTCCAGTGATGTCACCTTCATGCACTATTAAAGTGATTTTAAAGTAATGTATGAAACAGGAGGACTCATTTTGAAGTTAAATTATAAGCTAGATACACCATTAGCACTTCATGAATAGTGGCAAGAGCCAGATTTAAATAATTTAACAGATTAGCTACAATGGAGGATGGAACACTCTCATGACAATAAACTCAGATAGTCATATTTCTCCTGCATATACTTTGTATTTCAATAATTATATGTAGAAATTATCCATAGGTTGTTTTTGTCTCAGTACATCAATTCATAAATAAACATATAAAGAGGTGTCCCCCCTCACACACACACACACTCACACCCTTAAACACAAACACATACACTGCACCCCTCAATGCAGTATATGTGTGTGTATTCAGCAGTCTGTGTGTGCGTGTATTCAGCAGTTTGTGTGTGTGTGTATTCAGCAGACTGTATGTGTGTGTGTATTCAGCAGTCTGTATGTGTGTGTGTATTCAGCAGACTGTGTGTGTGTACTCAGCAGACTGTGTGTGTGTGTGTGTGTGTGTGTACTCAGCAGACTGTGTGTGTACTCAGCAGACTGTGTGTGTGTGTGTACTCAGCAGACTGTGTGTGTACTCAGCAGTGTGTGTACTCAGCACCCCTCACACACACACAGCACCCCTCACACACACACACACACAATCACACTGCACCCCTCAATGCGGTATGTGTGTGTGTATTCAGCAGTCTGTGTGTGTGCGTGTATTCAGCAGTCTGTGTGTGTGTGTACTCAGCAGACTGTGTGTGTGTACTCGGCAGTCTGTGTATATTCAGCAGTGTATGTATTCATCAGTCTGTGTGTACTCAGAAGTCTGTCTGTATGTGTATTCAGCAGTCTGTCTGTATGTGTATTTAGCGGATGGTGTGTGTATTTAGCGGCCGGTGTATGTATTTAGCGGCCGGTGTGAGTATATTTAGCGGTCGGTGTTAGTATGTATTTAGCGGTCAGTGTGTGTATGTATTTAGCGGTTGGTGTGTGTGTTCAGCAGTCTGTGTGACAAGCTGACAAGCTGATTTAAGCATGTTGTAGTTATTATGATTCTTCTAGTGCTCCTTTAAAGGGACATTCTATACACCAAACAACTTTAGCTAAATGAAGCATTTTTGATGTATAGATCATGCCCCTGTACTCTCACTGGTGAATTATATGTCATTTACAAGTTAAATCACAGTTGTTTTTGTTTCTACAGACCTTTCTACACCTCCCCTGGCTGTGACTCATACACCCTACATGAACAAGTGGTTTTGTTTTCAATCAGATCTTATAGCACAGTGTGTTTACTTTATAAGTTATCTCATGCTCTGTTAACTCCTTAGGGATAGAACCAATTGTCCAAGTTCTGAACCAAAACAAGAGCTAGAATTTGTGCTGTTTGTTCCACTGTAAGGATTTAAGGACACCCATACGTATACATTATTTGTTAAAGGACAGATAAGGCTCTCTTTTAATATTCTATATGTATACTTAATATACCATTAAGTATGAATAAAATATTAAATAAGGGAAAGAAAATGCAATAACATTTCTTTACATTTTTGTTAATAATAAATTTACACACCAAGTGTATTTAAAGAAAAATATCTTAAACCTGATTTACATATCAGTACGGATTGTTAAATGCCTCATATGTCTAGGATTTAAATTATTTATAGTAGACAACCTCGTAACCATGTAGAAACCTTACCCCCATGCTTACACTACCAACTACATACCGAGCCTAACCTTACTGCTATTCTTAACCCTACATTATTGCTAACTGTATTAAATCAAACCTAGCAATAACCCTTACATTATCCTAATGCTAACTGTACACCTAACCCTAATCCTAGACCTAACCCAACCTTAACTCAACCACAAACCCTGACCCTACACTTAACTATAAGGGATTTCCTCTGCTAATGTCAGTACTGTAAACTCGTTTGAACAGGGTCCCCTTCAACCTATATATATCCTGTAAGTTTTCTTGTAATTGTCCTATTTATAGTTAAATCCCCCCTATTATAATATTGTAAAGCGTTACTGCATCTGTTGGCTGTATATAAATATCAATAATAAGAATAATGATATCAGCAGATTTATTTCAAAGCCAAAACAGTACAGGTCAGTCTGTCACTGGCTGTTTGCAGGATAAAAGTTAATTATGAACAACAATTCTTCAAAATTTGGCCAGATTCTGAATCGGCATATATACTTTTTTTTTTTTCAATCTTGACATAGACAGTGTCATGTCCACTGCATCAGGCTTACGCAGAAACCAAATATCATGCATCGCATATAAGTAATGGTACATATAGCAAAAACAGTAGACAATGTACAATTTACATGAATAACTAACATTTTCACCGTCCGTCAAGGGTTTTTTGTTTTTATAAAGTTTAAGATTAGTGATGTCCCAAACGGTTCGCCGAACGGTTCACCGAACGGTTCGCCACGAACGGTTCACCGCGGACTCATCATTGAGTAAACTTTGACCCTGTACCTCACAGTCAGCAGACACATTCCAGCCAATCAGCAGCAGACCCTCCCTCCCAGACCCTCCCACCTCCTGGAGGGAGGGTCTGCTGCTGATTGGCTGGAATGTGGATATCTACATGAGTATTCGGCTTCTTCTGCCCAAAAAGCAGTGCAGATGCCCACTCAGACTCAAGTAAGTGTTAAACCAAGCTAAAAGAGTTTAATAGATTATGCTGGGAAAATGCCAGGGCACTACTAGCACCATAATTACTACACAAGCAGGAAACAAAAAGCTGTGACAGGTATGATGCTTTGATCTTTATCTGACATAGTAGTTGTAGTCCATTGCAGCTGGGCTACAAAAGAGGAGCTATACCTGTATATACCAGCTACAGATAAATAGCTACAGAACATGCTATATAAAGTACATTTTCCAATCACATTTGTGTAA